CCCAGAGAAGGGACCAGGGTGCCTGTGTTCCACTTGGAAAAAGGCTTCAGGATGGGAAGGGTATCCCTATCCCTGCCAAAACACACAAAAGTCTGTAATAGGAATGGATATTCTCAGGTGACTATTCCAAATCCTAGTAAAGTCAAATCAGTGTATCATTTACTCTCTGTAATTGATTTTATTATTTGTTAGTGATTGAAATCGGGACTCAGGATTTGTCTTTCTCACCAGGGGCAGTTCTTGTGGCGGTCTCGGCACGGAAGCTGTGCAGACACAGAGACACGCTCCCCGCTCTGCCAGGCTGGGGCTGTGCCAGGCCGGGGCTGTGCCAGGCTGGGGCTGCCTGGTACCTGCCACGAGCCAGGCTCAGGGACTCATGGAAAGCTGTTCCCTGAGCTCCTGCAGTAGCCCGTAGGGTGGGATGGTGAATCCAGCAGCGCTCAGTGCAGAGTGGGACGCCGGTGGAGGAGCGGAAAGAAAGGACGGGAAATCCTGTGCGCGGCCGTGCTGGCTGCAGCGCCCCTCGGCAGCGCTTCCAGGCTGCTCGGCTGCGTGCTGCACCTCCAGCTGCACCTGCAGCACGGCCCGAGCTCGGGCGGCTCCGCTCCTGGCACGGGGCTGCGGGGCACAGCTGGCACAGCTGGCACAGCCGAGCTGCACGGCCCTTCCAGTGCAGCACTGCCCACACAGCCCTTGCCCTGGGCCGTGCCCGCCGTGGATGCTGCCGGGGTTTTGGTGAACCCACTGCACGGGTTTACCAAAGCCGGCGTGGCCGGTGAAGATGGGGCACCGTGGCCTTTTCCCCCTGGGCCGAGCGAGGGACATTTCCATTTCCAGCTGGCTCTGAGCAGCAGCAGAGCTTCGGGCGGAAGCGCTGCTGGCTTTGGAAGCCTGGAGATGGTGGTAACCCCAGCAGAAACAGCAAAAATTGTCCTGAAAGCGGCAGGCTGGCGAGGCGGGCCCCGCTGCGGGTGCAGGCTGGCCGGGCTGCCGTTATCTGCGGCTCACAGCAGGAAGGAGTCCCGGGCCACCGCCCCAGGCCTTGCCCCATCTCCAGGCACGGCGGGCGATGGCCCATGTCAGCGCCACAAGCCCGTTTCCCCCGGCAGCTGCCGGCGGGCAGATTAATGGGTCACAGGGACACGGCTGCAATCGGCGCGCCTCAAACCGCGTGTCCGCGTCCCTGAGCCCCAAACTCCCCGAAGCGAGCTCCCCGTCAGCGAGCTGGGCTGCAAAGCCGTGCAAAGCACTTCCTCTGGCGTGGGCCTTCTTCGCTAGCACAAAGTCAGTTTTGCTTCCTTAAGAAAATACATATGCAAAGCCCAGGCCGTGGCCGTGGTTACCGCTGCACGTAGGGCTCGCTTGGATCCCCGGGCCCCCTAGGTTTGGTAAGTGTCACTCCCTGGCCTGTCACCGCTTCCCCTGGGCAGCCCCACATGTTGCAATTGGCCCCGCGGCACCGGGGAGGCGGTGGCGGTGCCAGCAGCGCTGCCAGAGCCCGGTGCGCCCGCAGCAGCCCCAGCTGGGACTGAGCCTCTGGCCCGGCCTCGCCGCCGCGGAGCGCAGCAGGACGGGGCGGCCGTCGGACACGGACGGTGAGTTGTTCGCAAAGCTGGACGGTTTCGTGGTCGCCTTTCCTTGTGCTGCTTTCGCATATGCATCTCACTATCTTGACTTAGTGAAGACTGGAATAATTTATTAGAGAAACGAACACTAAATGCAAGATGTTTTTACGCAAGGCACTAGTGCCAAACCTCTGTGGTCCTGAAGAGCATTAAAAGTCGCAGTCAGAGCCACCACAGACCCTCTGCGGCGTGTGCTGGGGTCCTCTGCCATGGCGCCACCACGTGCATCTTCTCTTTTCCTCTGCTTTTACTATAGTTTATCTGTTCATCACCTGTGGCGATTACCGTGCTGGAGGAGTTGAGAGAGAGGTTTTCACATGCTTACAAGAGCCCTGTGAGCTGGTTTAACACCCGGTGTGTCCTGGCACAGGGCCGGCGAGGCAGCCCCGCCATGGCTGTGCTGCACTTTGGGTTCAGTTCCCAGCGGGGCCGAGCGCTGCTCCTCCGCAGGGTCCTGCCAGCCCTGGAGGCAGCTGGGTGTCCGTCCCTGGAGCATCGCTCCTCAGCCCCGCTCTGCCGCGCTGGGGGGCGGCTGTACCTTAAGCACATGGCAGATTAAAATGACATTAATCCTTTGAGAGCGACCCTCAGCTTCCTACCGTGAAATCCGCTGCTGCTGGCGAACGTCCCGGCAGCTCTCCGTGACTAAACACCACCTTGGATCGCAGGCAGCAGCCGCCGGGCTGAGCACCCACACTGCTCCCGAGGGGCTGGGGGAGCCACCAGGCGCTGCTGGAGGGGCTGCAGCGTGAGCTGCATACAAGGAAAGAAAGTGCAAAGCTATAATGTGTATCACAATTATTTGCGGGGAATTGCACTGTGGATTTTGCTCATTTATGTGCTTGTAGACTAGGAGAGATTATTTTATTGTTTTCAACAAAAATACTATCACATAGGAGTTGCAGGAGGCTTTAAAATAAGAGGCCAAAACGATGTAAGGGCCAAATGATAAATTTGCGTGTTATATTTTCAGAAATGCAGATGAGATCATTAGAACAGAAATGTTTTAATGTTTCTGGGCTGGCGGGAAGCGGTGGCTGCGTGTGCCGTGCCGCGGGAGCGGGTTCCGGAGGAGCAGGGAGGCAGCAGGGCCTTCTGTGGCGGCAGCACTGCCGCTTGTGTCAGACCTTTTTGGGGAACTTGAGCTTCACCAGTGCTGCACAAATAAGGGCATCAGGAAGCAAACGGCTTCTCCAGGGTCGCAGTCATATTCAGACCATGTTTGAAGTGACTCATGTGTCTGCCTTTAACAAAGGCTCAAGGAGGGAAGGAAAATCAGAGTGTAGGTTGATTTTGTGACTGCTGTATTGCAGATATTTGGTGACCACTGGCCCTGCTGCCTGCCGGGCCCAGAGGGAAGGGCAGCACCCTGGCACTGTTTTCACAGGTCAGCCTCTCACCTCAACAGCACCAGGGCTGCACTGACTCAGCCACGAGAGCTCCTCTTTCTTGCTCCAGGTGCAGTAGCACATAGAGACTCGTTTTAAACCATAAAATACCTCTCAAAAAACTTTCTCAGCACACAATGTTTCTCTTTGTCCTTGAGAACTGATTTATGTCTTCAGGGCTGAGTGGCACACAATGCTGAGTGTGCAATGACACATTTCTTTATCTTTGCTGTAAGACAATTAGTCTGCTGGAATCCCAGGTGGTGACTGTTGCTGGTATTGGATGATGACCTGGGAGACCCCTGGATCTGAGATTTCCTTACTGTTTCCTCTTTACCCTGCCCTGCCTGGACATTTTGTTATGACAGAGCTTGTGCCTGACATACGTCCTCTAGGGTTTGATCCCCTGTAACCTACATAAACTGATGTGAATGGAATGCATTCACTTTATGGGATACAGTCAGAAATGCTATCACTGCGCCCAGGACACAGCTCCGGTCTCGCAGCACCAAGACACTGTCCTACACCATTATTTAAGAAGAATTTGGGCAGGGAGGAGTTAGTACAGTAACTTTGTGACCAGAACAAGTGCTTTGAAAATGCCCAGCACGGTGATGTCGGTTCTCAGGGAGGAAATGGCCCACGGAGCTCTTTGTGCTCGAACGGGAACAGGAAGAGCACAAATGACCCAGTACAATGTTCACTCCCACTGGGGCTGTGCAGCCAGGGCTGCATTGTCCGAGGGAACATCTGCACTGCACCAGGTGAGGCAGGTAAATATAAAATATATGGGATACCAGTTGTCATGGATCTTGTTCTGATCTGGATTAAACTTCATTGAAACACAATGCAAGAACACGTGTAAGAACATGACATTTTTCTGAAAGAAAATGGAATGTTTCTTTGTCCTTTCTAGGACATGTTTCTTGTCTCCAGTTTCTAGGAAAGAGCCATCAGAGGTATCAGAAAGCTCTCCTTCCCTGCCAGTGAGGTGCCTGCACTCCCTCGGGCATGCAGCACACCTGGATGCTCCCCAGGCTGGGCAGCTCTGAGGAAGGATACTCACTAAGCCCATCCTGTTTCCAAAGTGCTGCCTGCTCTGTTGCAGAGGTGATTAGAGCACAAGAAAAGCAAAGTTAATTATATCCCCTCCAGGCTGTGCAATAGAACAAAAAGCCTCATGAAGGAAGCAGCTGGAGTTAGATCTCGAGACCAGGTAACAAAATTTGTCTCCCAAAGTCAAATGAGGAATTATTTGTTATAACTTCATCTCACAAAACATAACCCTTTGGTTAGGTGTCTGTGTTAAAGGATGTTTAACACTACTTGACACTGGAGATAAATTCCTTGTCGTTTTCCTTGTCTCTTTCCTTGTCTCTTTTCAGTTTGTTTATGTCTTTCCTAAAGTGTGGTTAGCATGATAGTGGTTTCATGGCTCTGGCTGCGTGTGCTGGCAGGGGACACATTAATACACCTCTGGCTAATCTAGACTATTGTTTCCTTTTCTGCACTCTGCTGTCAGCATCACCCACGCGGCAGGACCGACACTGCCCTGTGCCACAGAGCCGACCTGTTGCCTGCGATGGGCCTGCTGCTCGGGAGGGCCGGGGAGCGGAGCAGCTGCTCACGGTGGGTGCCGGGGAGCCCCGGGAGAGCCCCGGGAGAGCCCCGGGAGAGCCCCGGGCAGCCCCCGCAGCCCCTCCAGCCTCCGGGCTGGCCTCGCCGACAAAACCAACCGCGCTGCGATGGCTCCTCTTGCTACCGGGAAGGAGGAGCGGGAGCCGGGAGGAAAGCAGGCTCCTTCTACCCGCTTTGGGCAGCAGATCTTTAGAGGATGGCGTCCTCAGGAGCGGCGTGAGGGGGGTCTGGAGCAGTCGCGCCGGGCGCTCTGCGGGCACGGCCGGGCCGCGGCAGCGCTGCCCGCGCCCAGGCCAACGCTGCCGTGCCTCCCCCGGCCGGAGGCGGCGGGGCCGGGCACGTGTGCGGGCCCGGGCTCGGTGACTCATGAGGCGCCGGCCGCTCCGCCGCGGGGAGGATGAGGGAGGGCGGCCCCGGGGGAGGGCAGCCCGCCGCGCCGCCGCCCCGCTCCGCGCCTTCCCCTCGCTCCCGCGGTGCCCGGAGCGCGGAGGCCGCGCCCGGATTAGGTGAGCGCGGCCGGGGTCGGGGTCGGGGCCGGGGCCGGGGCGGGCTCGGCTCCCCGCGGGCCCGGGGCTGGCGGCGGGGCCGGGGCCGGGTGGCGCTTCCGGGCGGGGCGGGGGCGGCGGCGGAAGCGGGGCCGGGGCTGGCGCGGGGAGCCCGGGCCGCCGCTGCCTCCGCCCGCCGCGCCCGCGGCACCGTCAGCATGAGCCGCTGAGCCGGGCGGGCCGCGCCGGCAGGGCCCCGCCGGCAGGCCCGGGGTGAGTGCGGCGCCGAGGCCCGGGCCCGGCGGCGGGGGAAGCGGGCGGCGGCCCTGGCGGGGCGGCTCCGCGGGGAAGGGAGGCAGCGTTGCTGCGGGCCGGGAACGGGGACCGGGGCGCGGCGCTCCCCACGCGTGTCCCCGCCGGGAGCCCGGACTCCCCCCGCGGGGCTCGGCCGAGGGTCGGGGCCCCCGGGCCGGCTCCGCGCTGCCCCGGCGGGCGGGGGGCGGCCGCAGAGGCCGGGGCCGCGGTGCGAGGCGGGCGCGGAGCCCTGTGCGCACCCACCGCACGGCCCGCGGGAAACTGAACTGCTTGTTTTCTTTCGAGAGAAAGTTCTTGAACTCAGAACTTGGGTTTGCAGGTGCAAACAAGTCCGTTTGTTGAGATGTTGGTATAGTGGAAGGGAAAAATGCAGGAATGTTTGTGTAAAATGGTTGTCTTGGAAAAATATGTGACTGTTTCTTTTAGAAAGAAATAATTTCTTTTGGTCATTTTTTTGAGGTGGGGAATGTATGCCCCGGAGCAAGGGACAAGCAGGACATGGGTGACAGAGATAATGAAGTGCAGGAGAGCAGGTTCAGGGAAGGAATGTAACGGGAAAGAAGGATGGGAGTAATGAATAGTAATGGTGAATAACTTAACTGGGTTATGTCTTTTTTTGGCACTATGGAGAAAGGTTTCTAATGAAACGACAACACATTCCAAAGTGACAAATGATTTGCATAATGAATAATTAACCGATGGCGCTTGTTGCTGCAGGGGAAGTTTGGGGTGAGAGCCGAGAAGAAGTTGCAGGCTCCCCTCAGGCTGGCTGCATGTGACACTGACCCTGGGCAGGCCCACTGGCAGAGAACAGTGTTATGATAATTTAAAGTAGATAAAAGAGGAAGAAATGAGAGGCTGGGCAGCCCCGTGCTCAGTGCAATGGTGACAGGACTGCTGCACGTGGAAGGCTGGGATGTGCCACTGCAGGAGCCAGAGGTGCTGGGAGTGTTTCTGCTCTGGGCTGAAAGCAGGTGTGGGTACTGACCAGTTTGGGTGTATCCCACAGCTGCCTCCAGCCTGGTCCCCCCGGGTAGGTGTCTGAGGAGAATCTGAAATGTACACCTGCAGTCTGGAGGGCAGGTGAATGCCCCGTTCCGTGGCCTTGGTGTGATGTCCCAGCCATGCCCTGCTGCATCCCTGCATCTGGTGCTGCTCTGACTTGGCTGTCCTTGGAGCTGGCTGTGTTGGAAGCCTGGAGTATAACTGTGAGGTCCTGGAGCTGTGATGGGAGCATGCACTGCCCATTGGCAGGGTGCTGCCCCGCAGGGCTGGGGTTTGGCTGCCACAGCAGACAGGCTGTAAAGGCTCTTGTGAGGTCCCACTGTCCAGGAGGGTTTCTGTGGCCACAGGAAGGTTCTTACAGGTGTGGTGTAGATGAAGATCTGATGGCCAGCTTAGATTAAATCATAGGCTTTCCTCTCTGGTTTTATTTCCTTCGAGTACTTGTTTCATTCTGCTGCTTCAGTGTCAGTGGGGAGGTGGTATTGACAGTGTATTGACAGCCTGTAATTAGGGGCATGAGCCTCAGCACCTCTTCATTCCTAAATAGTGGATGATTTCTGCTCAGGGTGATTATTGTTCAGGAACTGCTGGATAATCTGCAGACATCATTTTCTGACACTGAGGAAGTCACCCGTGTTGGGCTGTAAAAGGCCTTGTGGTAACTCTGTTACTTTCAAAGGCTTAATAGGTGTTTTCCTTAGGCATATTTTCGATGGGAATGTTGTAAACAGCATGTTAGCTAAGGGCAACTTGTTAAGGTAAAGCTGCAAGGAAAAGTTCTGTTCCCATTTGTTATGATTTATGTTCATGCCAAGGATGATTTTTGCAACTATGAGTTTATCAGCAAATTCCTGCTACTACTCTTGTCTGGAGGGAAGGGAGAGGGAGGATCTGGCAGAGTTCAGTCACTTCCCTGGGAATTCCTGCCCTTCGGTGTGACCTGCTGTGCCCAGCCCTACACAGAGGCTCTCCTCTCCCTTGCATGACTGGTAGTCTCCACTGTTTGTGTGCCTTAAGGATTAGAGCAGTTTCCTATGGTTATTATTTTTTAATTTAATTTTATTAACAATTATATACTGTAAACTTAGTTTCCCAAGTTACACAGTAAACAACATTTCTTTCCTCCTATCCCCTAGTTATTTACCAAAAGGATAAACATGTAAATATGTTTGAATGCTGTCCCTGGTTACATTTGGAGCCTGCTCTGCCGAGAATATGTGCAATTGCAATTCCATTAGTATCAAAGAGAGTTCCCAGCAATTAACAAGGAAAGAGAAGGGACTATTAAAACTGTGCTGTGGTTGTGCTGAAACTTCAGTTCATCCTAAGATAGGAAAATACAGTTAATGTGCCGAGTTGTGAGGTGAAGGCTTGCTGTGGTTGCTGTGAGGATGCTGGAGCCCACTCTCCCTTCAGCAGTCTGTGCAAGGGGAATGTCCTGGGCAGGACTGTGATCAGAGAAAAAAGCCAGTGACAAATGTTGGTTTACCCTGATCTGTGCGTTCAAAACCAGCAGTAAGTTTTGCTGTTGTGAAGATGCTCTGAAGTCTCCTCAGCAGCTTCAGAGGCAGCGACAGAAGAGCAACAGCAGCACCTGAGCTGGGGCAGGCTGACAGATACGAGGCTTCCTATGCCCATTGGGGAGTTGGGGGTTGGATGTGTGCTGATTTCACCTCAGGGTGAAATCCCACTATCTATCAGATAAAGAATTGGTTTTCCTAAAGGGTCAATTAATTTTTTTAAATATCTACTTTCTGTCAACTCCTACCCTGTGAAACAGTCCATGTTTCAGATTATGTGCATGTAATTGCTATAGAAGAATATTTTTATCCAAAATATCTTTATTTTAAGTAGCTGGGAAGAAAAAAAAGTTTGCAATAGGTATAATCTATCTCCAGTAAAATCTAACTTGAGTTTCTCACAATTCAGCTAGATTAATCTTGAATTTTTGAAGGTAAAATTGCTGTTGGTACTAATTAGTAAGAGCAGCAGCGGTGTGTAAGGTGACAGACAGCACTTCTGTCAAAAGGGTGCAAAATCCTGCATTAAATTGGGCAGGTGCCCGACCAGCATTAGCCCAGCCTGGAGAATGGGCCAGCTCAGCTTGGGTCTGCCTGTCCTTCCAGAGCCCCGCTACCTCCTGGAGCTGCCCTGATCTGAGCACTGTGATCAAATCTATCACTCCTGTGTGCTTGTGGGACCTTTGCTTTGGGCAAATAGGCCAAATACTACTTTTCTCAGAAAAATATTTTGGTACGTAAACATGCAAGGTGCACACAAGCAGCTGAACCGAGTGAACTTGTGCAGAATAAAAGGCAATGAGTATTAGATGGGTTGGAATGTGTCCAGTCCTTGTGTGTTTTGAGCAGAGCTCCTGCACAGCCCGCCACGGTTAGCCTGGCTGGGCTGGGCTGGGCTCCTTTTATCAGTCCTTGTGAATGTACAGGTGGCAGCTCCAGCGCCTGCAGCGTGCCCGGCTTTCCCTGTGGGAAGTGTACCTCGCTGTCCGCCCTGGGGCAGGCTGCTCTTGTAAAAGGAATTTCTTTTCCCTTATGTAACTTGTTGGTGTTACATCCAGAGTCGGCTCTTGCAAAAGTGCGTCAGTCTTGCTTGCAGCGGCACAGAAAAAAACTTACCAGAGCGTGCGCTGAATTCCCCCCTTATCTCTCTATAGCACATTTTATGTATCTTGTAGTGAGATGTTTTGTTTCTACAGTTTCAGACTTCGTGTTTCAGAAGATTAATAGACTTAGCAGCCCTGTTTGCTCAGCTTAGCAGCGATAACAATGTAATAAGTCATGAGACGGTCGCAGATCATCTGGCAAGGCAAAGTATGCCTCGGACTTGAACTTGGAGCAGGTATTATTTGCAAAGAAAAGTGAAATGTCGAAAGCATTATAAATAGCGTGTCCTGACTTGGGTGGCTGTGGGTTCAGGTCTGCCTGCAGAGGCTGCACAGCTGATGGCGTCTGCATTCCCGTGCGGACGGAGCGGGAGGGTGAGGGCAGGTCGTGCCCTGCATGGCTGCTGTTCGCTGGGGAGAGGGGCTGGGGAGAGGGGATGCGGGAGAGGGGCTGGGGAGAGGGGCTGTGCTCGGGCAGGGCTGCAGGAGCAAGGCTGCAGGATGAGCAGGGCAGCAGGAGCAGAGCAGGAGGAGCAGGGCTGCAGGAGGAGCAGGGCTGCAGGAGGAGCAGGGCTGCAGGAGCAGGGCTGTGCTCGAGCAGGGCTGCAGGAGGAGCAGGGCTGCAGGAGGAGCAGGGCTGCAGGAGGAGCAGGGCAGCAGGAGGAGCAGGGCTGCAGGAGCAGGGCTGTGCTCGAACAGGGCTGCAGGAGGAGCAGGGCTGCAGGAGGAGCAGGGCTGCAGGAGCAGGGCTGTGCTCGAGCAGGGCTGCAGGAGGAGCAGGGCTGCAGGAGGAGCAGGGCTGCAGGAGGAGCAGGGCAGCAGGAGGAGCAGGGCTGCAGGAGCAGGGCTGTGCTCGAGCAGGGCTGCAGGAGGAGCAGGGCTGCAGGAGGAGCAGGGCTGCAGGAGGAGCAGGGCAGCAGGAGGAGCAGGGCTGCAGGAGCAGGGCTGTGCTCGAACAGGGCTGCAGGAGGAGCAGGGCTGCAGGAGGAGCAGGGCTGCAGGAGGAGCAGGGCTGCAGGAGGAGCAGGGCTGCAGGAGGAGCAGGGCTGCAGGAGGAGCAGGGCTGCAGGAGGAGCAG